TATTTAAGCAACATTTTAAATGCTAAATACAATTGAATTTTATCTGGCCAGGGCGGCTTATTTTATAATGTGAGTTTTAATTAAGATTATTTTATATGGATTTTAACTTGTTTTATCTATGTTGTAAGCCGCCCCGAGGCTTCGGCGAATGGGGCGGCATAAAAATGTTTTAATAAATAAATAAATAAATAAATAAATAAACCCTGTTAGTATGTCTGGACTTCTTGACATAGTAACAGGGTGTTTCATCAATATAACACAAGGCTCGACTTCTTTTCTTTTTCCTTTCATTTTCAGAAGGTGAGATGTGGATGTGCTAGAGCAGTGCCTAGCGGGGACAATGGACTGGATGAAGACTAACAAACTCAGTATTAATCCAGACAAGACTGAGACGCTTGGGTCCTTTCTGTAGCTGGATAAATGTTGTTCAGCCTGTTCTGGGTAGCTCTGCAGCAGCAGGTTCATAGCTTGGGGGTCATCCCTGAGCCAACTTCATCACTTGAGGCTCAGGTGATGGAGTGTCTTCTATCAGCTTTAGCTGATGGCACAGCTACATCCCTATCTGGACAGGAATAGGAAACTTGTCTAGTTTCAGTAAACTACGCTCTGGTACTTTCTAACCTGGATTACTGCAATGCACTCTATGTGCAGTTGTCCTTGATGACTGTTAAGCAGCTGTGGTTTCTCAGTAGTGTCTCCCCATTATGGAACAAGCTGTCCACTAGGGCCCACCTGTTCCACTATTCTTTTGGTGCAAATTACGGCTGTCCTAAACAACAGACATTTAATCAGCTCTGAATATTATGTTAAAACATTATCTCAGCAGTCTAACAGGTTGTTTTTTCAATCAGTTTTTAATCTGAATTGAAACACCCAGTTTTTACTGATTTTTAATCAATTTTTACTGTTACCTGTATTTTTATATTGCTTTTAAAAATATTTTACGTGCTGCTATAACCTATCCAGAGAAATCTTTAACAAATGGGGGAGAGAGAGAGAGAGAGAGAAGGAAGAGTATAAAAATAACTACAGAAATACTTACAATGTATACAGGAGGCATACAAATTTAATATTATTTTGATTTTTAAAAAATTAATTCCTTTTCAAGGGATTGATTATAAGCCATACGTAGCTTTAGGGATGAAACATCTACTGCTTCATTGACTATGCCAAAGCCTTTGATGGTGTGGATCACAACAAATTGTGGCAAGTTGTTAAAGAGATGGGACTACCAGACCATCTTATTTGTCTCTTGAGGAACTTGTATTTGGGCCAAGGAGCAACAGTTAGAATGGGACATGGAACAGTTGATTGGTTCAAAATTGGGAAAGGATGGGGGCTTTATATTGTTGCCCTGCCTATTTAACTTATATGCAGAGCACATCATGCGAAAGGCCAGGCTAAATGAATTACAAGCTTAGGATTGCTGGGAGAATATCAACAGCCTCAGATATGCAGATGATACCACTCTGATGGCAGAAAGTGAAGAGGAACTAAAGAGCCTCTTGATGCAGGAGAAGGAGGAGAGCGCAAAAGTTGGCTTGAAACTCAACATTAAGAAAACTAAGTTCATGGCATCGGGCCCTATCAATTCCTGGCAAATAGATGTGGAAGAAATGGAGGTAGTGACACTGAAGATTTTATTTTCCTGGGCTCCAAGATCACCGCAGATGGTGACTGCAGCCAAGAAATTAAAGGACACTTGCTCCTTGGAAGGAAAGCTATGGCAAATTTAGACAGCATACTAAAAGCAGAGACATCATCCTGCCAACAAATGTTCATATAGTCAAAGCAATATAAAACTGGGTTTTCCCAGTTGTAATGTATGGCTGTGAAAATTGGATGATGAGGAAGGCTGAGAGCTGAAGAACTGATGCTTTTGAATCGTGGCATTGGAGAAGACTCCTGAGAGTCCCTTGGACTGCAAAGAAAACAAATCAGTCAATCTTAAACTGTTCTTTAGAAGGACAGATACTGAAGCTGAAGCTCAAATACTTTGGCCACCTAATGAGAAGGGAATCACTGGAGAAGACCCTGATGATGGGAACAATTGAAGGCAAAAGGAGAAGTGGATGGCAGAGGTTGAGGTGGCTGGATGGGGTCACTGGGGCAGGTGAGCAGTTGGGAGAACTGGAGAGCCCGGAAGCATGTTGCCCATTGGGTCCCAAAGAGTTAGATGTGACTTTGCAACTAATCAACAACAGCTTTAGAAAGCAGTAATAGTTTCTTTCTCTTAATCAGCCTTTCAGCCAATTAACCTAGAACATTTCATCCAACTGAATTCATTGAATGTTTGTGAAGACTTGACTGTCTTATTTCAAGTAGAGTTACTGAATACTTAAAACATACAAGCTTTCTCTAAAGACATCTTCACTGTTCATAGTGGTCCAGAACTACTGTTTCCTTACCATTTCCCGCAGACACTGTTCATAGTTCTATTCTGAAAGCTGCCCAAAGTTGCTCTTTCCCATCTCACAGTAAGTTCTGAAACACTTTAATGATTTTACCTTGTAGCTTAGGGGACCCCAACCTGGGAATCTGAGAAACTGCTGTGGGTAGTCCCACAAAATGTCTAATCAGTAATTTGCCATTTCGGTGTCTACATGCCATATCTATGGATTGTATTTAGCTGCATCTTATTCAGCAATAACATTTGTGTCTATTGAACACTACAATATCCCTTTAGTAAGAGATTGTTTAACTCAACTAATTGCTGATAGTGCAATACATGCTTCTTTTAAACATATGTTTTCAAAATGTTCATTATTGGCTTCCTTTTGGGAGAAGGTTACTACAAGATAAATTTTATATTGGAATAGTCCTCAATATTCATTGATGTACACTCTTTTAAAAAATATTTACCTGCTGCCTAGAATAAAAATAGAAAAAAGCTAATGACATCTAAAAGGGAAATGGACAATGTTTGCCAGATAAAAGATTGATATTATAAAAAAGAAAAGATAAACACTTCCTGGGTTGAGGACCTTACAAAACTTTTTATATGAATGGGTAATATACAGAGACAATTTCAAATGGATACTTTTGCTGAAGCCAATGTATAATTGCTAGATAGGTGCATGCATTCCATACAAATCCAGATACATATATTAAAAAAGGGAATAGGGAAAAAATAGGGAAAAGAAAAAAAGAAACTGCAGACCCATGATCTTTGCATGATCACCAAAAACAAGAATATGTATTATATTTCTGTTTCTATGAAGAAACCACTAATAAAATGCAATTTCTGACTTTTCATAGAATATATATTACCTAAGACTGCTTACTTCTAGTATATTTTTCTTTTATAGATCTTCAATTGAATGATTATCACAAGGAAAGAATTGTCAGTATATTTTGGTGAATTTAAGTAAACACACATTCCTGACTTTTATAACATATATAATCATATTTTTCTAAACTGTCACAAAACTTAATAACTGTCTGTAGAAATCTGATTTTATGTTTGCATATCAAGAGAGGACTAAAAGATTAAACTGAAGCCTACTTTACAAATTGGAAATATCGTAAAATCAATACATTGGTACAATTATGTAAGCTTGGTCATGGTTAAGAATACATAGATACAATCAGCTGTTTAAGTCACTACAGTGGGACAGAAAGAAAGCTCCAACTGTTCTAATAAACCTTATGGGACTAACTAATAACAGCATGGAACATTTACAATTCCTTTAATTTATAGATTTATCCCTAGCTGTTATAGTTTTAAAAATATGTATGCTAAAGACAGCTTGCAGAATGAAGAAATGTATAATCACTTGACTAGGAAGAGGGTGCTCTAAATGAGGAAAGGATCTTCTTCAAGTATCGAATTATTTCACATTTATACCTCATCTATCAGCATATAACAAGCTGCTGCTGCTGCTGCTGCTACTACTTACAGACTCCTCTTCCATAAAGTCCCCAACCCTTTTCCAGAAAATGCAGACAATAGGTAGGCTTTTTGAACTGTGTTTTACCACTACATACATTAAATAACTGGGCATGAGATTATTTTTTCAGTGTTCACTATAAGTGAACTGCCTATAAGTTAGAGCCAAAATATGTTAAGTTTTTGTCATACAACCAAGTGAAATATCCTGCTTAGTTGCAGATTTTCATGAATTCTCTTACCTATTATGACTCTTACCTAAACAAAATTCAGAAAATTCAGCTGAATCTACAATGCAGTAGTGTTCATTCTAATTTAAATTGCATCCTATTAAAATATATGTATAATTGAAAAATTGAACAAAGAATAGTACTAAAATACTTATATGTTTGCTATACTAGTTGGTAGCTATAAAATAAGATTAATAAATATTAACAAAGGGAGAAACTTGTAAATTAGGCATGCACACAATCCAGTCAAACTAGGTACATAGATATTATCCCTTCCACTGAAAAGCGATCCTCCCATCTCCCCAAAAAAGCCTTTCTGAACATTTTTGGCCTCCACTTAAGGTTTTGAAATGCTATTTTTCAGAAGTACTTTTTTGTAAGTAGCACTTACTATTGTGCACAATCAATCAACTGGTATTCATTCGATCTCTCGAAGCACGCCTTTACTCCTTCATCGTCCCAGAGCTTTTTTGCGTGTTCAAAGAATTCCTGAAAATTAGAAATGTAACAGCACATTAAATTTGCTGAAGGAGTTAAGTAAAATTCAATAAATTTGAATTTTATCAATAATATACAACTCCGTGCTATCGATCAAAACCACATCTTAAACTCTCAGGGCTTAATTCTAAACATACTGCTTTTCCCCCAAAGACTCTTTTAACATGAAATCAGATCAGATCAGATCAGTTTTCACTTAAAAGTTACCTCTAATATTTGTCACAAATTAGTAGTCTTTGCTGTAAGAGTGTTGTTTTCATTGCAGTGAGTATTGTATTTATTGCAGGATTGGCACTAAAAATTTGTTTTCCATTTCCCTGACTTTGCTTGAACAACTTTTGTCAATCTTCCTAACCACCATTTAAAAGTAGTCCTATTAAAACAATTTATAAGTTAAATTTATTAAACAACAGTTTCATTGAATGTTTAAAACTACACAACCACTGAAAACCATTTATAAAACAAGGTAGGTGTTATTAATGTGAGCCTTTTAAAGCATTGACTTTTAACTGAAGAAACATATTTGTCTTGAAATTGCACTAAAACTTCATCAATAGTGAGTTAAAAGTAATTTTTAAACAATGACAAATGACAAAACATTATTGTTCTTGTTTTAAAAGTGCACTAAAAATTACATAACATTTCACAGAATATTCCTCTTAAAATGAAGCCACTATGAAACTTACAGGTTGGAAATACAACAAAAACTCAGGTTAGAAAACAGAGTATAATTACACTTTACAGAAATTTTAAATAAAAATATATGTCATTACAGTGTTCCCTCTTTCTTTTGCAACTCAGTACTTATTAATTCCCACCCCCCCACATTCCCTTTATTTTTTGGTCATTTTTTTTTCTTTTTAGCATTTGTCAAGGTATTGAATTTCTTCCTTAAGTTTCTCTTTTCTTCTATGTTGCATGTTTCATGTTGTTGCACATATCATGTTGCTGCTTATGATGCTTAACCTCCAAGTATTCAATGTATCATGTGCAAACACAACTGATTGACTGCAACATACTCCTACCAATTCTAACAGATCCAAGTTCTCCAGAACTCAGAACATCACTGTAAACCTGACACTGATAGACAACAACTTCTACATGTAAATTCTATATCAACATCACTTATTGATTCAAATTCCATGTTCAGCTGAAGTATTACCATGAGAAAGGATAAGTCATTTTGACAACATCTCACAGGTATGAGAATTTCTTGTTGGCCATCAAAATAAAACTGTAAAATGTGTCCGGTCCAATTTCATCATCTTGCCTTGGCTTATACACCTGAAACTGAATCTTGAATTTATTGTTGGCAGCTATGATCCACACAGTATATGATTTCTTTGATTTTTCTTTGGTTTTACAGTTCTTGTGTAAATAGTTTGATTTCCTATTCATAGAAGTTCAAGTACACTCATTATTCTGATGATTCCAACATTTGGTGTGTGTTTAATGACAGTAAGATCCAATTCCTATAAGCCCCAAACCAACTTTTCAACAACCGCTACCATTGTGTTTCTACAATCTAGATAATATCTGGCCACTGGGCTTAAGGATTTTTGAAAGCCAATTTCAACTTTTCTTCTGCTAGGCAAGTTCTCAGATAATTCAATGCCATTTGTTAACAACGGGGATTCAGAAGGCATTTTTTGTGGTTTTTCTGATTTTACAGCAGGCCAAACACTACAGTATACATTAGTTTTGTTTTTCCAAGATGACCCTGATGAGCTATTTGCCTTTCTGTGGACATATGCTTGAATAACCCATTCATATGTTGTAAAAGTTAAATTACATCTTTTTATCACTAGTTGCAAAGCCCACAAGCATTATGCTTTCATAACGTAATTTTTGGTTACTAAGGAAAGTCATGTGGGTTAGGGTAACCCTAACGTAGCACCTGAACAAATCAACGTCGTGAATAAATCTGAATCACAACATCCCTGACTTTTGAGCAACATCTTTGACTTTTCAGAAAGTGGCAACCCTGTCATTTTCATATACTTGGCTTGCCTTGATTACATCTGAGGATGAAACCTTTGTGCTTATTCGGTTAAGATAGGGTTTCACACTTAGATGGGTTGGAAGAGAGTCATGAAGCGCCTTACAGATGAAGCATTCCACTGAAGAACTGAGATAAGACTTGAAAATTAATCTCCTGTATGAGATGTAAGTTTTCAGAAAGGATTTAAATTATAGTATAAAAACATTTTTATAGAAGCCACTCTCCTGGGGTTTTAGGTTTCCCTGTTGAAGGTAAAAGAAAAGAAAGACCAAATACGAGATGGACTGACTTCATAAAGGAAGCCATAACCTTGAATTTACAGAAACTGAGGAGGGCTGCCAATGATAAGCTATTTTGGAAAGTATTCATTCATAGTGTCACCTTAAGTCACATATAACTTGATGGCACATAACACCAACCTGGATTTTCAAAAATGGACCCTCTTGACTAAGTGATACAGCATCAAGAATCCATGATATACAATATTCAAAAGAGCTAATTCATATAATCAAGTGGTATGTTACTTATCAAGAGAACAGCTCACTTCTATTCATGGGTACTGTATTCACATGATTAATAAGCTCCATCCACAGTAGTCAGTATATGATAGCGAGCTCATTAAAAAATCAACAATTATGAATAAACACGATTATGTGAATCAATCCAAACTAAGTAGGAAAGTAAGTTGGTTCCTTCTACAAATGCTTTGGAAACATTTCTGAATTACTTATTTCAGTTTTAAAATAGAGGGGCAAGTTGCTGCAAGAGATTAATTTAATGCATGTATAAACCTCCTGTACAGTTTTTAGTACTTTATGCACTCAGTCACTAGCCTGACAGTTCAAATGCAAGCTAAAAAATTACTGTAATTATAGGTGCCATTACATTTAAAATGTAACTCCACCCTGAGTCATACATAGGTCCAAGGAGAAGGTAGGATGTCAAATTTAAAAGAAAGGTAGAAGAAAACTGATGTGGTTGTTGTTCTTGTCATTATTCCTGAAAAGTTCTTTTCAAATATTAATCATTAGATCAGTGTTCAAGAATTTCATTACTCCAAAATTACTTTGCCTGATTCAAAGCATTAGAAAATAAAAGCATGCAGTTCATAGAGAAAATTTCACTTAATTTTCACATTCAACTTCCAAAATAAAGTATTTTGAAGGGATGCAAGTGAATTAATTTATCCAAGTAATGAACCTCATCCAGATGTTAACAAGAGTTTTAAAAAATGTAAATAGAAATTCCTTGATAAATTATGAGGTAGCAGAATGAAATCCAATCACTCTGGAAAAGTCTTTGCAGAACTCTGCATCTTCCTCTACTTCTTTCTCTCTGTTTTTCTCTTCAGCCCTGTGATAGTAAGATGACTTTTTTCTTACGTTCTGTCTTGCGCTCTGGGGTAAAACTTAGATTGATAAAGTATGTTTGTGAGGTATTTCTTTTTAATTCAGTATGACCAGCCAATGCGTTTCTCAACTAAGTACATGAAATCATAAATGCTCATGGACAAATCATCAAGCAGCAATCTTTGTACAGAACTTGCATAATTTTAGGCAAAAGTCTAAAGAAAATCAGGTTAAATATTTTGAAAACACATTTTAAATATTTTGAAAACACATTCCTTCCCTTTTTTGGGTACCGTTACAAGACAGATAGTTGCTATAAATGGTAAACTACTTGCTGCAACATTTCCCTATCTGGTTCGCTCTAGATGTGTTGGAGTATAAATCTCATCATCCCTGGCCAACATGGCCAATTATCATGCTGGGTTAGCTGCCTTCCTCCATACTAATCCTAATTCCAGTTAGTGTTACACAGCTGACCAGACATGGCCAAGCATCTTGTCCACATCTATGAATTTCAGCACGTGACAGTTATCCAATAAAACTAAACCTGCCATTGCCCTTGTTGCCTCTCCTGTTCAAACAACATTAAATGTGGAGTACAAGTAATGATGAATGTAAATAAAGACCATGTTCACACATTACACTGTGCTACTGAGTAAATAAAATGTGTTGTAATAACCCAGAGTGAAGGATTGATTTTGGATTGTCACTGAACTATGGGTGACTATACTGTCTAAATCCAACTGTGTAAATCCCCACCACCACCTTGAGACAAACTATGGGTTTAGTCATGGTTAACAAATCATGCTTTGTTAGCATGGGCAGCTTCAGACAAGATAAACCCACATTTCATAACAGCTCATGGCTCAACAACAGCCTACACTCAGCCCTTGGGGAGTTGATAGTCCCATTCCTTCAGACACACTAACAGGGAACAAGAGGGATGTATGTGGGCGCACTGGTGCTAGCTGAAGCCACACTGGAAACCCCAGGACTAGGATATTTTTACCAACGTTTACTCCCTTTAAGAAATCCTTTGTCAAGAATAGGGCCAAAGCAGACTATTAGATATAGCTGCAGCCACACCTTCATTTTCATTTTTATTCTAGAGTATGTGCAGGATGCCCAAGACAATTAGGGTACTTAATCCCTTTCCCCCACTATGAGGTTGATCTATATCAGGCCTGGAAGAGTACATATGTTGCATTTAGTAGGTATTTCCAGGAAGGGCTGGAAAAATTCCTGTGTGAAACCCTTGGAAGTCACTGCCAGTCAGTGTCAATCCTGGGCTGAAATTGGGGGCTGGAATGATAAAATGCTTGCCCAGTTGGAAATAGTACAGAATTATTTTAAAGGATAATTCTGGGTCTCCTCCAGGACATTCCCAATGCCCATCTAAGGAGGAAGCTAGGTTTACCCTCATTTACTATAAGGGTCCAACAAATATTGCTCAAATATTTTAAAACTTAACAACTTGTTAGAAGACCATCTAATTAAATCTAGCTATTTGAACTATTGGCAGAGAATCAGGGCAGAAACATACTGTTCCATATTTACAAATCTACTCCCTTCCTCAGTTAAATGAAGTATAGAGTCATAGAACTGGAAGTGCCAATGAAGTCTCAGGCCCAGCCCTCTGC